CATAACTTGAGAGCACTAAATGGGGGAACGGGGTTATAATACTCAAAACAACCGGTCAGGTCGTTACAAAAGGTTATATAAATGATGTTATTTCCCATGTGTTTTTATAAAGAAAACGACATCGGAATTTGTTGTACTTGTCGTATATGTTGATGGCATAAATCTTATTGGAACTCCTATAGAACTTCAAAAAGCAATTCACTATTTAAAGAAGGAATTCGAGATGAAAGATCTCGAAAAGATAAAAATTATGTCCCGGTTTGCAAATTGAACATTTGGCAATCGGAATTTTTGTTCATCAATCTACCTACACAGAAAAGGTATTAAAACGGTTCTATATGGATAGAGCACATACATTAAGTACTCCGATGGTGGTGCGATCACTTGATGTGAATAAAGATCTGTTCCGATCTCAATAAAAGAATGAATAGCTACTTGGTCCTGAAGTACCATATCTTAGTGCAATTGGTGCACTAATGTATCTTGCTAATACTACAAGACATGACATAACTTTTTCAGTTAATGTCTTAGCAAGATATAGCTCTGCTCTTACAAGGAGACATTGGAATGGAATCGAACATATATTGCGGTATCTAAAAGGGACTAACGATATGAGCTTATTTTATGGCAATAATTGCAGTCTCGGTCTTGTTAGTTATGCTAACACTGGGTATTTATCTGACTCACACAAAGCTCGATCTCAAACAAGCTATGTATTTACATATGGAGGCACTGCCATATCTTGGCGATCGACTAAGAAATCAATTGTGGCTACTTCATCTAATCATGCTGAGATAATTGCTATTCATGAAGCAAGTCGAGATTGTGTGTAGTTGAGGTCTATAATACATCTTATTCGAGACAAATGTGATTTGAAATGTGACAAACTACCCACGATTTTGTATAAAGACAATGCAACATGCATAGCCCAATTGAAGGGGTGCTTCGTAAAGGAATATAGGACAAAGCACATTTCACCGAAGTTATTTTTCACACATGAGCTTCAAAAGAATGGTAATATCAATGTGCAACAAATTCATTCAAGTGATAATATGGTTGATTTGTTCATAAAATTTCTACCAACATCAACCTTCAAGAAACTAGTGTACAAGATTGGGATGCGAAGGCTCAAGGAGGTGGTTTGATGCTCTCATTAGGGGGAGTTAATACGTGTTGTACTCTTTTTCCTTACAAGATTTTGTCCTACTGGGTTTTTCTTGCAAGGTTTTTAACGAGGCAACCAAAAGGCGTATTTCTAAACATGTGAACTCTTTTTCCATCTCTAGAATTTTTTTCCACTGGGTTTTGTTCTAGTTAAGGTTTTAACGAGACATATTAGACATTCAAGGGAGAGTGTTACTTTGTGGCTAAGTCATTTTCCCCTCTATAAATAAAGGGGCTTTACCCTATTGTAAATTATCCCAAAATTAACAAGAATTCTCTCAGTACTTTTCTCTGCAATATTGTTCTTCTTCTTTTATTGTTTTATTTCACTAATTATTTATATATATATATATATACAAAAAAAATATTTTGGATTATTATTTTGGGATGGCTATATTCCGTAGATTTTCCAATCGTTTACCGCCAATTAGGTAAGCGCACATGACCAAATCTAGAAGTGCTTTCAAGCATATGAATAAATTAAAAGCTTCTTCGAGGGAGTTTTTTTTTTCTTCTTTTTCTTTTTTTTTTTAAAATTGGAGGGAAGATTGAAAAGTTAAAACCAAAGTTATAACTTATACGGCTCCCTTGAGGGCATTCAAAATTATGTTCTAGTTTCTTTTTTCTTTTACCTCACCAAAATGATACATTATACACGAAGTACGTACATGAGTTATCTTTTTCAATTTGAAACCTCTCGATTTATTACTAACTTGATAATAATATACTGCTACCATCCGTAGCCCATTGCCAAATATGAAAAATTCAATTTTGGATTTTGAGAGATTCTCTAGACCTGTTTGGTTTAGATTATAATATTCATTCTTATTGTTTAATTAAATTGTCCGATAGTCGATTTACATAATTAACTTGTTCGAGGTTATAATTTGTTTATAAGAATTAAAATAGTTTCTTCCGTACCATAGCGAATATGGAGTTTATTTCTTGGATGCATGGTCACCGAATTTATGAAATTAATATTCGAAAGTTTTTTTTTTGTTTGGTTTAGGACAACAAAGTCCTCAAGTTATTGCATTTTAACTCATAAATAGAAAGCATTTATTTGGCATATCATGACTGTATACGGGTAAAATCGGGGCTAACACACACCCCAATTTTTGGTGGGTCAGACAAAGCAAGGACATGACTACATGGGATCGGAATCGAAGTTGAAAACTTTTCGTATCAAGGCCCAAACGGAGTACTCGCCACCGAGCCTTATAAGACAACATGACTTCCCCAAACCCAGAACGAGCTCCGAGACCTCGGAAAGCATGACAACGATTGCACACGATTAACAGAGGGCCGTGATATCCGCATCCCACTTGATATCACGGCACAAATCTCGCCCGACGTCGGTAGCGGATCACTAATTGACGAGAAAGGAGGATTTTTACCTATTTTAGAATTTTACTAGGGATGAAACTATCCTACTATATAAAGGGAAAGTATTTAATTCAATAGGACACATTGTAATACGCAAACCAATGCAACACAAATTCATTTTTCTACTCTCTAGCTATTGAAAAGTTCTTATTTTACTATTGTTCTTTACACGCAATTGGGTTCGAATTGAGGGTCTAGTCGAGGGCAGGATTACTGTCTAGCTCTAATCCGAGCTCGGCCTTAACGTCACAATGGATTTGATTATTCCTTTGTATTTAATTCGTTTATCTAACATTCTTCATTATTTATGTTGAATCTATCCACATATTCTTAAAACCGCATATAAATTTAATTATTATCTGTTTTAAGGGTAAACAGTTTGGCGCACACCATGAGCTAAGGATAATAGTGGTGGTTTGATACAAATTTCCATAACACACTTTATTTTACACTTGTTCTTAAAGGTCTCAATTTCAGGCCAACTAAAATATGTCAAATTCTAGCCTGCTCACTTGAACGTTGAGGCTGAGTCCGACCATCATGGCAAAAACAATAATCTGGTGCCTTGCACCGAGGTGCCCCCTATTGATCCCAACGAAGTCCCAGTTGCAGACCCAGTCGATGCTAACTCACATGTGGCCATCGACGCCAACTTGCGAACTGATCCCGAGAATAGCGTTCGTGGAGGAGCCAGACCAATGGCTAGAGGAGCGCCCGAAGGCGAAGGCGACAGGGTTAGCCTACAGTTAATATTCGAAATGTTGCAGGCTCAACAGGTAGCGATAGCGCAACTGCAAAATCAAAGTCGCGTCCCCAACAGAGTTGAACCCGAACCGTCCCGGGAAAACACCTGAAGAAATGAGCAGATCACCGAAAGACCGGGTGAAGCTGAGTCCAGTGTCAGTACCGAAGTAATGAAAATGCTTGAAGCATTAACGAAGCAGGTGGAATCATGTGAAAAGAAAATTGAGGCAAACGACAAGAAGGTGGAGACATATCATTTCAAGGTCGATCAAATCCTGAGAGCCCGATATTGTAAGGACCGAATTCCAAGAAATTTATCCAAAAGCTTTTCCCTTCGAGCGCGGGACCAAAGCCAATCCCAAAGAGGTTTCGTATGCCCGATATTCTCAAATATAACGGAACCATGGATCCGAATAAGCATGTGACCTCCTACACATGCGCCATCAAAGGCAATGACTTGGAAAACTATGAAATCGAGTCGGTGTTACTAAAGAAGTTCGGGGAAACTCGGTCAAAATGAGCAATAATATGGTACCATAACTTACTCCCAAATTCTATTGACTCGTTTGTTATGATCATGGATGCTTTTGTGAAGGCTCATTCCAGGTCCAACAAGATCGAGACCAAAAAATCGGACCATTTCAAGGTTAAGTAAAGAGATAACGAGATGCTCAGGGAGTTCGTGTAAAGGTTTCAAATGGAACAGATGGACTTGCCTCCGGTTGTGGATGATTGGGTCGTTCAGGCATTCAATCAAGGACTTAACACCCGAAGCTCTTTGGCTTCACAACAGCTAAAACAAAATTTGGTAGAGTACCCGGCAGTAACTTGGGCCGACGTCCACAACAGGTACCAGTCAAAAATCAGAGTCGAGGATGACAAACTCGAAGCCCCTTCTGGGTCCGTTTATCCCATAAGAACCGACGATAGGTCTAAGAGAGTCGTTGATCATGAATTAAGGCCGATCCAAGAGCGGCATCAACCATACAATGCGATCAAAGGGAAACCTGGTCCAGGCGCAACCCCACAAGGAACCAAAAAAAAAGCTATCGAGGGCCCAATAGACGAGATCTGATGAGAAAAAATGGTTACGACATGCCGCTCGGGGGAAGGGAAGCACCAAGATTATCAAAGTATAACTTCAACGTTGATACAACCAGCATCGTATTAGCCATTAGGTGCATCAAGGAAAGCAAGTGGCCTCAACCATTACAGCCCGACCCTACCCAGAGAGACCCTAATTGAGAGAATTGCCAACAATTGAGAGAATAAGTTGCCTGGTTGTTTAATAACGGGCACCTCTGAGAATTTCTGAGTGACCGAGTCAAAACCCACTTCAGGAACAGGGACTCCAACAAACAGACCGAACAAGAAGAACCTCCGTACATCATCAACATGATCATCTGAGGGGTCGATGTCCCCCAAGGCCAATGATAAAGCGTACTAAAGTATCCACCACGAGGGAAAAGCGCACCCGATATTACATCTCAGATGGAACCATTTCGTTCTGCGACGAGGATGTTGAGGGCATCATACAGTCTCATAATGATGTACTGGTAATATCTGTACTTATCAATAAATCTCGAGTTAAATATTTGTTGATTGATCCAGGCAGCTCGGCCAACATCATCAGATCGAGGGTCATAGAGCAGTTGGGGTTACAAAACCAAATAGTGTCGGCGGTCCGAGTGTTGAATGGATTTAACATGGTATGCGAAACTACTAAAGGAGAAATAACCCTGCTAGTGAACACTGCCGGGACTATCCAAAAGATAAAATTCTACGTGATCGAAGGGGACATAAGGTACAATGCCAAACTTAGAAGGCCATGGGTTCATAACATGAGGGAGGTACCCTCAACCTTACACCATGCACTGAAGTTCCCTATGCCAGGAGGAATCAAGACGGTCTACGGAGAGCAGCCAGTCACAAAGAAAATGTTCACAGTCGACGAGGTGATCAGGTCCCCGGGGTCTCGACTTCAAAGAACATGGAGCCGAACAAGAAGGGGAAATTAAATAACAATCACCGATACCGATTTCGACCGAATAGGAAGAGTGGGGAGTAGACGAGGAGGGTGACTACGGAGTTCCTAGATCATTCATAGCTCGTGATGATACCGATGACACCAAATCGACGATCGAGGAGTTGGAGCAAGTCATATCGATTGAACACTTACCAGATCGAAAGGTATACCTGGGCACGGGGTTAAATCCTGAGCTCAGGAAAAAACTCATTGAATTTCTTATAGCTAACATAGATTATTTCGCTTGGTCCCATTTTGATATGACAGGGATCCCACCGAAGATGACCACTCATAAGCTGAGTTTGGACCCGAAGTTCCATCCGGTTTAGTAGAAAAGGAGACCGAAGTCCAAGGTAAAGCATACATTCATCAAGGACGAGGTATCTAAACTCTTTAAAATAGGGTCCATTCGGGAAGTTAAATACCCGGACTGGTTAACTAACGTAGTGGTAGTACCTAAAAAGGAAATAAGATAAGAATGTATGTGTATTATAAAGATCTGAAATAGGCATGCCCTAAGATTCTTTTCCTTTGCCTAACATCGATCGGTTGATCGACGGGATGGTGGGGCACGAGATACTCAGCTTTCTCGATGCCTATTCTGGATACAACCAAATTTGGTTGGACCCGGGCGATCAAGAAAAGACTTCCTTTATCAATAAATTCGGCACCTATTATTATAACGTAATGCCATTCGGATTAAAAAACGTCGGTGTCACCTATCAACGCCATGTTCGAAGAACAAATAGGAAAATGAATGGAAGTTTATATTGACGACATGTCAGTCAAGTTCGTGCGAGCAGAGGACCATTTGAAACATTTGCAGGAAACCTTCGACATATTGAAGAAATACAATATGAAGCTAAACCCGAAACATCGGGGTCAGATCAATCTTGACAAAATCAAAGACATAGAAAACATCACCATGGTGGACAATGTCAAGGTCGTTCAGAGGCTAACATGGCGTATAACGGCCTCGGGCCGGTTCATATCGAGGTTCTCGGACAAAAGACATCGGTTATTCTCACTTTTGAAGAAGAAGAATAACTTTTCCTAGATCTCGTAATGCCAATGAGCTTTGGAAGAACTCAAATGGTACCTTTTGATTCCGCCCCTACTCCACACTCCAAAGGCGGATGAATGGTTGTACCTTTACTTGGCGGTTTTCGAGGTGGCAGTAAGTTGAATCTTAGTCCAGGAAGAGGAGGGTACTTAATTTCTTATTTACTATGTCAGTAGAACTCTAGGCAAGGCCAAAACAAGGTATCCTCACCTGGAAAAATTAGCGCTCGCTTTGCTAAGCGCCTCCAGAAAGTTAAAACCGTACTTGCCATACCACCCCATATGTGTCATAACATGTTACCCACTGAGGAACATCTTGCACAAACCCGATCTCTCGGGCCGGTTGGCTAAATGGTCCATCGAAATCAGTGGGTACGATATCGAGTATCGACCTTGAACCGCCATAAAATCTCAAATTTTTGCAGTCTTCGTAGCCGACTTTACACCAGCCTTAGTACACAAAGTCGAAGGGAATTATTGCTAACCTCGAGGACTAATTCGGGAATTTGGACCCTTTTTACGGACGATGCCTCGAACGCAAAGGGATCTAGGCTCGACATAGTGTTGAAACCCCCTACGGGGAATATGGTTAGGTAGTCTATTAGAACTGTGAAATTGACTAACAATGAGGCCCAATATGAGGCCATGGTCGCAAGTCTTGAATTGGCTAAAAGCCTTGGGGCCAAGGTGATTGAAGCTAGGTGTGATTCCCTCATCGTGGTAAATCAAGTCAATGGGACATTCGAAGTGAAAGAGTAATGAATGCGAAGGTATTTAGACAAATTACAAGTAACATTGCATCAATTCAAGGAATGGATCCTATAACACGTGCCCGAGATCAAAACAGCAGGCCGATGCTCTGGCTAACTTGGGGTCATCGGTTGATGATGATGAGTTCAGTTCGGGAACAATAGTACAACTCATGAAGTCGGTGATAGAAGAAGGCCACGCCGAAGTAAACTCAACGAGTTTAACCTAGGATTGTGTCATGACCCCAATTTTCCTCTGTAGAATGTCGTGACGGCACCTAGTCTCTAAGACTAGGTAAGCCTAACACTTACTGAATTAAAAGAAAATTTTTATTAACAATTAATAATGATGAAATAGAGCCTTGTTACACAACTTACAATTCCCAAAACCGGTAGTACAAGTCATAAGCTCTATTGAGTTTACTACAAAAACCTCTAAATACAACTGTTTTGAAATAGAGATAAACAATGCAAGTACAATACATAAGGTGACTCCGAGGCCTGTGAACGCAACAACATGTTTACTTGCGTCTCCACATCAAGATACGTACAATTAGCTAGCGATTAACAGTCTCCGAATTATCTGGATCTGCACAAAAATGTGCAGAAGTGTAGTATGAGTACACCACAGCGGTACCCAGTAAGTGTCAAGACTAACCTGCGTGGAGTAGTGACGAAGGACAGTCAAGACACCTACTGGACTAGATAACCTGAACAAATACAAGTATAGAACTAACAGAGTATGATATCTCTACAGAAGTACGCATAATGACAACAATAATACGGTGCTTACAGTAGGAAGTAGAAGCAACAATTTGCAGTGGACACCACAAATAATAACATAGTAGAGTAAGCTGGACACAATTTAAATCCGGTGAAAAACAAACAAAGGAAAGACAAGTAGCAACTTGATAGGAATAACTACTTTCGCACCAGGTTTATTCAATAAGAATGGCTCAACAAGGGAGAAATAATATAGCTCAACAAGGAAGAAATAGCATGTAACAAGTTATTCTAAATACGGATGAGGCAACTACGACAAAGGATAGCTATACTGCATTTAGGGTTGATCAATTACGAAGAGATGCAACAAATTCAATTAAAGATAGGCAACGGAAAGGATAGCATGGCAATCGAAGAGGCAACAACTTCAGTTAAGGCACACAATAGTCAAATAGGCAATAAAGGTTGTTGCCTTAACTGAAGTTGTTGCCTCTTCGATTGCCATGCTATCCTTTCCGTTGAACATGAAGCAATTAATTCCAATTAAGACATGTAGAGTGAAACTAGTAAATGGGGAAACTTAGCATAACAAAACAACTTCATAGCTAATGAACATAAGAACCTAAGAGCCCTAAAGGTCAACTTTCCACAAATAAGTCTGAGCACGTACTCGTCACCTCGTGTACACGGACTTCACATGACACAATTAGCACGAGAGACTCAATACCTAAGGGGTAGTCCCCCCCCCCCCCCC